CCTGCTATGAGCTGTAGAAATTGGAAAAAAAGTGAATTGAATTTGTCAAAAAATGGATGTTTTCAGTTTTTCAATAATAACTCGAAAACTTCAGTTCGAATTTTCGCTACATCGAAACGTAATAAACTTTTTATGATTTTATTGCATAATCACATGCACACAAGCGTGTAACAAAAGTTACGTAATGTTCGGTACGTAACAGAGAAACGACGTTTTTTTCGATTTTTTTCAGTTTTTCGTTAATAACTCGACAACCCCCTAAGATAATTACATCATCGAATACTCGTATGAAAGCTGATTGTCTCACCTTTCGAACGAGCCTACAATCATCTTCGTAATGCCGCCGAGTCGCCTGTTATGAGCTGTAGAAAATGCAAAAATGGTGAATTGAATTTGTCAAAAAATGGATGTAATTCAGTTTTTCAATAATAACTCGAAAACTAATAAACTTTTTTATGATTTTATTGCATAATCAGGTGCACGCAAGCAAGATTTATAAATAGTTTTTGGGTATAAATATAAACCATACACAAAATAGAAAGGAAAAATGTAAATTATAGAATCTTATCTAAAGAGCTTCCGAAATATTTTCCAAATAGAGTACATCAACATCCGCATCCGGTTCTGATCTTCTCATCGAGACAAGCTGCGGATTATATAGAATTCAGATAAAATTCCGACGAATTGAATCCGATAGCGTTTATATTCAATGGTTATCACCAACAGCCGTCGAAGTTTGTGAAACCTCTTTTCGTCCGTGATGGCAACCAGTCAGGACTATTTGAAATGTTAAACGTTCGCAATTTCAATTAAAATTTATCTGAACCCCAGTTTTTTTTTTGGTGCCGTTCCCATTCATCGTGACTGATTCTTTTATTTTATTTTTGTCTTGGTGGAGGAAAATTAAATTGAAAAGGAAAAATCGGAATAGATTGAAGTGGATCAACCATTTCTTTTCAATATCTTTGTAACTGTTTGAAACGTGCATTGGAAGGTGAATTGGCTCTGCAGATCAATCAATCAATCAATCAATCAGCGGATAATGGGGCTATGTGTTCAGGGGGAATGGTCCATTGCATCCATTGTACCATTGTTGTTGAGGGTCTCGGCATCAATGAATGGTCGACGTGCGCTGCCGACCCGCAATCGACACGTACCACTCACTAATGCCATCATCTCATCCAACAGTTCGATTTCCAAACGACAGCTTAGGACCCACTTAATGCCAAACTACCACTAATGAATACATAAACTCTTAAAACTTTCTTCCTTCTTTCTTTTTACTTTGTCCATTCAACAAATCTTCAAAAAATTTAATTATTATCAGCCTAACGAACACCATGTTAATGTAAGAAATTTTTTTTTTCTAATTTAAGAAATAAAATATTATGCCTGTAATTATTTATGTGTTATAACATTAACGAACTGATTGAATTTTCTAGATAACTATTTTCTTCGACATTTTCAGTAATATACGTATAATAACATATTTAACGCATTTTACGAACGAAATTCATACATAAAAATGCTTGCAATTAAATTTTTGATATTTTCTGAATTATATCATTATTGCAACAATAAATGATTGATGATGAAGTTCAATTTATGTATCTATTGGACAACATTTTAAAGTTTAAAATTTAAACATATTTAAATGATATAAAAAAGATCAAATAGGCTGTAATTGGAATCCTAATAGTCCTAAACTCTGCCACGTAGCACCACATAGCTGCACTCGATAGAACTACTAAGTCATACGTGTCAGAAAATCTAGTTGCCTGATGTACACTGTATTCATCAATACTAGTTTCAAGTAGATGTCACTATCATCGAATAAGTAAAAAAAGGAAAATTTTGGTTAATTGTAGAAACTAACAATAATGAATATTTACATAATACTTGTTAATATTATATCAATACTACCATTATGTTATTTCTTTTATTATAGAAAAATTCCAATCCTGAACTTTTATTTCGTATGTTCGTTGCAAATATTAGAGGCGAGTCGAAGAGAAACGAATCATACGCCACCACCACCAGCCACCTACTCCAATATTATTATATTTAACTGTCACTTCTGACCATTAACCTTACTTTCTAACATTAGGTATTGCATCAGAAAATTTTTTCATTTATTTTTATAATCAATTCACACTTTCAATGATGAAGGAAAATTCGACTGCACCGAAAAGTGAGTAATTTGTTGTTATTAAAGTGCATATATAATATTTTCATTCATTATAGATGAAAAAAAGGAGAAGGTTGGTGCAGATGGTCTTACAAAGAAAGAGAGGAGAGCATTGAAAGTTGCTGAAAAAGGTGCACCAGATACACCTAATGTCAAGGATGTAAAGAAGCAGCCGGCTGTTCAGAAGCCTAGTAATATTTCTGATGCTAGTGTATCGAAGAAAGAACGAAGAGCACTTAAAGTAAATCAAAAGGCACCAAACAATATATCAGCAAAACCTACAGAAGTCACAAAAGAGGAGAGTAAAGAAGCTGATGTCAATGAAGGTTGGTTTCCTATAGAGTTTAATGTTTGTAGCATAATCCATATGGTTTTATTTCATATTATAAAGGTAAATCAAAAGCATTGTTAAGAGCTGAAAGAAGGGAAATTCAGGAAAAGCAACGACTTGCAAAGTTAGCTGCAAAAGAAAATAGTCTGAAAAAGGATGCTGAACCTTCAGGTGATACTAAAAATAAAATTAAACCAGTGTCAAGGTCACCTAGGAAATACAAAAAAGAATTACCCAAGGAGTCTCAGAAAAAAGTGAGACTCTTCAATCACTTGTACTGTGAGACTCTTAATAATAGAGGTACATGTATTATTAACAATGTGCATCCCACTTTCATTGCATTGGGAGAACAATATTCATCAAAAACAATTATAGGTTTGTTATTATCATCATCATCATCAAATTTTCAGTATGTATATCTTAGAGTAAACCTAATGTTTTAGGTTCAAATGCGCGGTGTTTGGCACTGCTTGCAGCTTTGAAAGATTTAATTAGGGATTTCGTAACGCCCCCAAAGCAAGAACTTTGCAGATCTTTGGAATCTTCTCTAAACGAAAGTGTTAAACATTTACAAAAGTGTCGAAAGTTTGCTGTTTCCATGAACAACGCAATTAGGCATTTTAAAGTGCATTTAACGCAGTTGAATAGCACAGATCTTTCAGATGCTGACAAAAAATGCAAATTGCAAGACGTTGTTGATGTTTATGTCAGTAATGAAATTTTCACTGCTGCCACTTCTATCAGCGATCAGGTCAAGGCGAAAATATCCAATAACGATGTTATCGTTACTTACGGATGGTGCGTATTTTCAATTAATTTATAGAAGTTATTATGTTAATTAGATATTTTAGTTCATCGTTGATTAAGAAAATTTTGATCGACTCCCATCAAGACAAGAAGTTTAAAGTAGTTGTCATTGAGGGACGAGGTCTTTTAGAGGGAAGAGAAATGTTGAGACAGCTAGTAAATGCGGGAATTGATTGTAGTTACTGCTTGATAAATTCGGCTACTTTTGTAATGAACAAAGCTAATAAAGTACTACTAGGTGCCCATTCTTTGCTCGCCAATGGATCGGTTATGGCTAGAAATGGTAGCGCACAAATTGCGCTCATTGCCCACTCTCATAATAAGCCAGTTTTGGTTTGCTGCGAAACTTACAAATTTTGTGAAAGGGTACAAGTTGATAGTATTGTTTACAATGAATTAGGTTTGTAGCGTGTAGTACACGTGTATATATTTATCCAATACTAACTATATTACTTAAAGGTGATCCAAACAAGATTCTGAACATTGATACGGCCGAAGAAGAAAGCCCGCTACGATCGGTTTCATCGAAAACACCACCAGAATCTGTAAATTTAATGTATGACGTTACACCGCCAGACTTCGTCACGGCCGTAGTGACGGAATTAGGATTTTTACCTTGCACCAGTGTTCCAGTAGTACTCAGGATCAAACCAGTAAAAGAATAACAAGAATAAACGTAATATTTTATTAACACTTTAATCACTCTCTTCTTCGCCACTAGAAGAGGCTTCTTCGGCTTCCTGCAACCATTTAATGAACGGCTCAATTCTCTTACAAAGTCTAGATCCCTTATCCATTTTTTCGTACCAACACACTATAACTTCTTCGGATATGTAATCCTTGTCATAAAACCAGTTTAATATTTTAGAAATGCAATCGTTCAATTCGGAATTCTCAGTTGCAACATCCTAAAAATAAGCATAATATATGTAGTATTCTGTATTTAACTCGACGCACGCTCCTAACATACCTCGATAGCATGCAAGCAATCGCCCATCGCGTCTTCACTTTGAATATAATTTTTGATTATCGGAGAGAAGTATAGCAAACAGCGAGACAAAGCTTGCAAATACGGCTGTCCATTCGATTGTTGAAAGGGCAAATTCAAAATAGCTTTTATAACGTTGAAAGTAACCTACAAAAAATGAAATGATGTAGATAATAGCGAATATTCTACATGGAAGGGAAGCAGTGAAGTCGGTTAACGCACAAAGAAGACGTCTAAAATCTAGGGAACAAACCTCTTTCAAAGTGACATTATAAGCATAACGGGAGGAATTAATTTCTAAAATTAAATTATCGCATTGCAGTTTATCTTCAATACCCCGTGCCAAACTATCGGTGACTTCGCTAAAGAAAACTAAACAAAAAAATGTGTTAAAATTGCAAAACGTAATTTGCAATTATTATATTCACCTTTAGCGTCATCGGGAATCGGTGAATTAGTATATGACATATCATCTTCACTTTCGGACGATTCGTATTCTTCGTCTTCTGGTACTTCATATTTGTCCAGAAGCCTCAACCTGGAGAATCTGTTACGTAATTCATCATCATCGTCGTCATCCAGTTCAAGTTGGAAGGCTCTTTCACTAAGCTTATCCAATTCTTCGCCTAGAAGCATATTTCAAATTAGAATACAGAACGCAAATATGTTACAGCTGTTTACAGAAATCTGGTTTTGTCGATTGGATCAACTTGTTTTCAATTT